TGTCGAGTTAAAAGGCACTGAAGAAGATTCAGCACCACTTATTAAAAGATTTAAGTAAGTATATGTTTATATTTGTGCCCATATTTATGTTCTGGCCGTATGTAAATCAGAGAAACTAAATAAAAACCTGTGCACCCAATCCTTATTTTTTAAGTCATTAAAGATGGATGCTATGCAATCATTCCACCCTGGGAAAACAGAACAGTTCAAAGAAATCATTCCGTTACATTTATTCTCTATGATGAATGTATATAAACTTCTGAGCACAGTAACTGTAGTTGTTGAGCCATGTTTGCTTACACAATACAGTTATAGCTGCTGTTTTAGAATTTGTACAGAAACGTATTGTTACATTATTAACCACTTAGTACTAATTAAAATGATTATTTTTTATTTACTGCTAATTTTGTTCTGTGTTTGTTGCACTTAATCATTTTTGAATGTTTAGTGTTACCTTGTAGACAGAAGTTTTACTTTATGTAGTATTACGCGTAGTCTTACAGACGACACTTTATTCCCACTACAGTCTTATTGATCTTTCTAGTACAGTTTAAACTCATGTCACTGTATTTCATTTGTTATTGTCTTCTTGTCCTACTTCCAGAGTGTATCCGGGGTAGTGGAGAGTCTAAAGATTATCACCAGGAATAATTCCATCAGGATTGCTGATTATGCCTTCAAACTGGCCAGGGAGAGAGGTCGCCGCAGGGTCACTGCTGTACACAAAGCTAACATCATGTAAGTTACCTTTTGGGAAACGTATCCTGTCAAACACGTCTGGCCTTTTGTTTACTACGGTGAGTTTCTTAGTCCTGGATATGCTGAGTGTGGCATTTCTGTTTCAACAGGAAGCTCGGTGATGGCTTGTTCCTGCAGTGCTGCAGAGAAGTGGCCTCGGGTTATCCAGACATCACATTCGACAGCATGATTGTGGACAATACCACAATGCAGGTAACAGATGATGACATTTTAGGGAATCCAGGGAATGTTCTTCCAGGGAATGATTTTGTTTTACTTAACTCCATTTGTGTCGTTTAGCTCGTGTCCAAACCACAGCAGTTTGATGTGATGGTCATGCCCAATCTGTACGGGAATGTGGTGAGCAACGTGTGCGC